AAGGGTTAATATCCAAAATATACAAGCAGCTCATGCAGCTGAATATCAAAAAAACAAACAACCCAATCCATAAATGGGCAGAAGATATAAATAGACATTTCTCAAAAGAAGATATAAAGATTGCCAACAAACACGTGAAAGGATGCACAACATCACTAATCATTACAGAACGCAAATCAAAACTACAGTGAGGTATCACCTCACACTGGTCAGGTGGCCATCATCAAAAGATCTACAAACAGTAAATGCTGGAGAGGGTGTCGAGAAGAGGGAATCCTCTTGCACTGTTGGAGGGAATGTAAATTGATACAGCCACTATGGAGAACAATATGGAGGTTCCTTAAAAAACTAAAAATAGAACTACCATATGACCCAGCAATCCCACTACTGGGCATATACCCTGAGAAAACCATAATTCAAAAAGAGACATGTTCCACAATGTTCACTGAAGCACTATTTACAATAGCCAGGACATGGAAGCAACCTAAGTGTCCATCAACAGATGAATGGATAAAGATGTGGCACATATATACAATGGAATATTACTCAGCCATAAAAAGAAATGAAATTGAACTATCTGTAGTGAGGTAGATGGACCTAGAGTCTGTCATACAGAGTAAAGTAAGTCAGAAAGGGAAAAACAAATACTATATGCCAACACATATATATGGAATCTAAAAAAAAAATAATGGTTCTGATGAACCTAGCAGCAGGACAGGAATAAAGATGCAGACGTAGAGAATGGACTTGAGGACACGGGGAGGGGGAAGGGTAAGCTGGGACGAAGTTGGAGAGTAGCACTGATATATATACACTACCAAATGTAAAATAGATAGCTAGTGGGAAGCAGCTGCATAGCACAGGGAGATCAGCTCCGTGCTTTGTGACCACCTAGAGGCGTGGGATAGGGAGGGTGGGAGGGAGATGCAAGAGGGAGGGGATATGGGGATATATGTATACATATAGCTGACTCACTTTGTTATACAGCAGAAACTAACATAACAGGTAAAGCAATTATACTCCAATAAAGATGTTAAAAAAAAAAAAAGAAAAATGAAGGGTGATAATTTTTAAAAAAAGGGCTTCCCTTGTGGCACAGTGGTTAAGAATCCACCTGCCAGTGTAGGGGACACGTTTTTTTTTTGTTTTTTTTATTTTTTAACAAAACAGTGTACAGTCTGTGAACTCTAACCAATAAAGCAAGAAAAGTAAATAAATAACATAAATACAGGAAAGAAAAAAAAGGCCATAAAATCATACATGGGAGACATCCTAGAGAATTTTAGTTTACAACTTGTACAAACAATTCTTCCTATAAAGATATAGTAATCTATAAAAGTGAGGGATTTGTATAAGAGGAGACAAATAAATCAATGAAAGAGAAGACTAAAATTAGATTCAACCACATATATGGTCAATTTCTTTTCAACAAAGAACCCAAATAACTCAATGGATAAAAGAAAGTCTCCACAACAAATAGTCCTGGAGTAAGAGGATGTGTGCATAGAGATAATGAATTTTGACCCCTACCAAATGCCATTCACAAAAATTTGTTCCAATATTACAGACCCAAAGAGAAAAACTTCCAAAAGAAATCCTAAGATAATTTATTTGAAAGTCTGTGATAGTCAAATATTTCTTAGAGAAAATACAACAAAAGTAACCATAAAATTTTTAAATGATAAATTAATCTTCAAAATTTAATATTTCTTTTCATGAAAAGTCATCAGGAAGAAAATAAACAGGCATGCTACAAGCTGAGGGAACATATTTAAAATACATATATTTGACATTGATTTATATCTAGAAACTCCAAAGAATTTCAACAAGTCAATTAGGCAAACAACTTAATAAAAAATAAGAGTTTGAACAGACAATTAGTTAAAGCAAATGTATGAGTGTCCAATAAATACATGTAATACTGTTCAACATCATTAGTTATTAGGGAAGTATTACCACCAAAAGATAGCTCTTAACCCACATTAGACTGGGTAAAATTAATGTTAACATTTCATTGTAATCCTATCTGCCAGCCATCCCAAATATCTCTCCCCTGGGAAAACAGTTTTGTCATTTTAGGCATATGTGAACATATAAAACATAGAGTTGTTTTCTTTTTTAACATATAAATATTAGTATACACTATACCCTGTTACGTAACTTGATTTATTTGGAGATCTGTCCATATTAGTACATAAACAGATCACTCATGTTTGTAACTGAAAATAATGTTCCATGTAGAAGCTTCAGTTTAACACTATAAAAGTCATCGAATCATATGGTTCAAATCTTCAATACCAAGTAATTATTTTTATATTTCTCTGCTCAGGCATCATCTGATATGTATATGAACAATATGATAGGAAATTTAAGTTAAACCAAAGGTAACAGATAAAGTTACTACCGTTACTGTATTATCTAAATCAGCTGACACCCAAATATCATCTAATATCTTAAAAAATAATTCCAATATTCCATAGTTACTAAGTTTAAAACATGTATTAAATATTTTTCTAATTACATTTAGCAAACTCACAAGGAAAGTGTATAATTGACTATGAACTGCAGACACTTTAGATGAATGAACAATAAACAAAAACACTGTCATAAAAATTAAGCAACAGTGTACAGTTTTAAGCAGAATGTTTTGTAACTTTCAAAAAAGGGAAGAGATAGATGCTATTGTTTCTTCATTGAAGTAACTCAAAACTAAGCAGAAAATTTCATTATAAACTCTTTAGTTTGTTATATGACTTACTTTATCTCTCATTTACAATCTTTCAAAACCATGTTGTTAGTTTTTTTTCTTCCTCTTATCCTCATCTGATTGAAGTGAATAAACTTTTCTTCACTTTTAGAAAATCGTACTTCCTTTAGGCCAGATTCCCCTCAATGAAAAGTGATTTTATGGATGTCAGCAGAAGTGAAATAACTGTAAGAAATCAAACCTCCATCCAGGTATGTACAGGGCTCTTTGGTCAACACTGCCACATCTATGGCTCATATATTGTTTCTGTGAATGGAGACCCAAGTATGATGCCTGAAATTAAACAGTGCCAAAGTGGCCTAAAGGGGCTAACATATTTTAGAGTCACAAAGTGGGTATTTTTCTAGGCTGAAGGCCACTGTTTTCAGTTTTTATTTGTTATTTCTTAATCTAATATGTATTAATCTCTAAAAAGTAGGGCAAAAGCATGATAATATATATTTTTTCTTTTAAAAAGGTTAAGCCTTCTTCTCACTCCAGTTCTTTATATCACTTGCTCCTCTCTCCAGAAGCAGCCACTGCTACAAATGTCTTGGCTCTACTTCCTGAGTGGTTCTGTTATTAGTAAACAAATGGTAGTATGCTGTCTATAACAATTAATGCAATTAAGTATACAGCTGTAAAAATTTTAGAAATGTACTCACAGCTAATGTATAATTTAAAATTCCAAGAATCAAACCTTAATTTCAGAAGGTATGCTCTTACTTCTGAACTGTAGTAACTATACGCATACAGTACTTGCAAAAGTCTAAAGTACAACACAAGTGAGAGGCTCTAATGCATTGCTTTCAAGTTAGAATGAAGCCACATGGAGCTTCTGAGCTTAAAAAAAATGTCTGACCACTGGCTTTCCTCTACTCCCCATTTACTTCTTAGGGTAGAACTCAAGCCCTGGCTCATGGACTTCTCGGAGGGCCACAGGAAAAGGCGAAAGTTACTTAGGCACCATTATTCTGTATCCAGACTAATACCAGACCCAACACATGGCATGACCTAGAGCAGAGCTGCTATAAAAATGTATTTCTCCTTTAACCCCTCCATGTAAATCATCAGAAAGCTTCCTTCCACTGATTTAAACAAATTTGTCTTTGACCTCTAGAGTCAGAATTGGCCTCAACAACTCTTTCAGATGGTTGTAGTATTGACTGTTTGATGTATGTCAGCTACCATAAAATGCAATACTATTTCATGACAGATCTTCAAATAATGCCACATACGTCCAAAGTCATGGTAACAGTCTCTTTATTCCAAGTAAATCAGTAGCATGAAATACTGCAGATTAATGAAATAATGCACTTTGTTGTATCAAGCTTTGGCATCTAATGCAGCTGTGATTTGTGGTAGTGTTCAACCAGTTGCAACACCTGTCAGCATGCTTCCTCTAGAACTTCAAAAGGCTTCCGATAAATACCAAATGCTTGAAAGGGTTCTAATGTGCATAAGTAAGAACTTTTCAGGGTCTGTGATTTTTGGTATTTAACAACCAGATCAATATGATAGTTCATAAAACAATCAGTTGCTTAATGATCTATCTGCAAACATTCAAGTCTGACAATTTGAAATACCACAGAAGACCCAAGAAATTATATTTGTTCACTTTTCTGGAAGAAAAAACTTATTGAACACTCTTTAAATAAAACCTAAACTCTAAAACTAGAGAAAGGTTTCCAATCAAAAGATATTTAGATAATTTCTTTAAGCATTAAATGTTTTTCAAGGAGTTTTCAAGCAGTTTCCATCGATTGATATATATATGTATATATAAATTAAAATGTATAAACATTATATATCTTATATAATTAAATATTGTTCATTATATAACAAGAAATTATATTATACATATAAATTATTATAACTAGTATATATTAAATATATAAACAAAATATTCACAAATATATACATATATATAAATTTATATCTCTAAATTGAAATGAATTTCAACATCTTTATGTTTAATAAACTGTAATACAGGAAGATATTGTATTGAGTACAGTATTAAAACATTTTGGTACTTAACACTTCAAAAATTATTTTATTTAATTGAGACCAACTGGCCTCATTGCTTCTTATAAACGTTGCAATATATATTCAGTAAAAAGGGATAAAAATGAACACATGTTTCTCCTTAAAGAAGGCAAACAAAGGTTTTTCTTACACAATAAATCAGCTGCTAGTGGATTTCTAGGACATTGCTTTAGGCTATTTAGGTATAAAACTTAAGAAAAAAAATTACCTTTGTGTGGATCCAAAACTGGTAGAGGAGATTGAACTGAAGATGAACAGCATAGACTGAAGGTGGTATGAAGAGGGCCAGTGGAGAGTAGAATATCTGAAAGATTAAAACATTATAAATTTGCACATAGGACTTCTCAACATAACATACACTATCACTAATGATTCAATATTTTGAGTCTATCCTTCAGCAAATATGCCTTATTTTTAGCAAATATATCTTATTCTGTACATTTTATTGCCATGTTTGACCTTGCAACATTAATTTTTCCACATGGTGATAAAGTTATAGACATGTTGGGGCTAAGTCCACTGGACTTCTATTTCACATTTAATATTGTCTTGTTAACAAAGCATACAATGTACGTTATTTCCTTAATCTTGAAAAGGTTGGGTGTATTTCCTGGAAGTAAAGAGGTTTTTTAATATATACAAAAATACACACTTTCTTTAAGTAAAAGAAATGTAGGAGCATGTGCCTTTATACCTTGACAGCTCCTAGACACTGTATTATTATGGCATTCTGAGTAACGAAATGCAATTATAGTAAAAGACAGTAACTTCATATGAGAAGGGGAAAGAATACATTTTCCCTTTTAAATTTTACTTTATTATTTTGTGGTTGACAATATCTCCTGATTTTTTTTTCAAAGTTAGTAAAGAAGGAGCTATGATACTGTGCCATTGTGGAAACAAGTTTTGAAGGTCCCTATTTCCTAACAGACGGAAATGCCTCTGCCTTGGGAAAACAACTTATTCGTAGACCACTGGTTAGAATCAACGAGTAAGCAGAATCTGCTGTGTTCTCCCAATGACTTTGATCCCCAAGAGTGGTTTCATGTTGTAAGAAAACTTTTTATTAAATGAAAAACTAAACAACAAAATAGGAAGAAAAAGAATCAGACTTCGACTTTACATTTTGGGGTTTATAAAGTTATTATTTCCAAAAGATGAGATATTTTAAAAACATGCTTTCAGAATACTACAATTTTATTTCTGAATTATTTTAAAGCTTTTGTTCCCAATTAGGCCAAACATCATTTCAACAACGTTTAGTAATGAGGATATATTTGAAATCAGACATTTCCATAAATTCTTATAGTTTTTGTTTCGAACTTTAAGTCATGAAAAATCTTAGCTGTCATCACAACAGGATCAGTTTCATTATTTATAAATTCATTATTAAGCAATGGATTAGATTAGTGAACAACAAAAGAACACTGGGCTCTTACTCAAGACATTCCCTTTTAAGCCTTCATTCTACTACAGAATGGCTCTGCAATATTTACAAATTTCTTAAACTTATCTAGGCTCCAGTTTCCTCAAATGACTGGTGAAGGAGAAGACCATCTGAAATCTAGCCATCTTTTTAGTTCCAAAAAATCTCTAATATTGTGATTTGATTTGAGAATATATTAATATAGTTCTCTTACAACAGGTGAAAAAAATATTTGAAACACATATATGACCAATGATTTAAGTATTTTAAGTTAAGGAATATTTTGGAAACTTTGAGATGTAATTAAAAATATAGAACAAACTTATCTTGATGCTTAATAAATAGTTATCTCTGGAAAAAGAGTTCATACAAGATGACTATTTATAGTTCATTATAATTCCTTAAAGTGTGAAGAAATAGTCCTTTGAGATAACAACAGCTATTATGGAAAAGGGTGTTCTATCATCAGATAAACTGTGAAGAGTTGAGTAAGGCAAGTGAACTTTCTTTACCATAGAAATTCTCAGAGACTTTATCATGCTAGTACAAACCACAAGCCTGTTAGTCCATAGAACACTTTCTTAAGGAATTTCCCATAAGATTTCCTAAAAACGTATTTGATGAACCATGTTGTTGAACTGGAAGAATCAGTATTCTAATATGACCATATTACCCAAGGCAATATACAGATTCAATGCAATCTTTATCAAATTACAAATGGTATTTTTCACAAAACTGGAACAAATTTTTTTAATTTGCATGGAAGCACAAAAGACCCCAAATAGCCAAAACAAGCTTGAGAAAGAAGAACGGAGCTGGAGGAACCATGCTGCCTGACTTCAGACTATACTACAAAACAACAGTAATCAAAACGGTATGGTACTGGCACAAAACCAAACACATAGATTAATGGAACAGGTTAGAAAATCCAGAAATAAACGCACACACTTACAGTCAATTAATCTATGACAAAGAAGGCAAGAATATATAATGGAGAAAAGACAGTCTCTTCAATAACTGGTACTGGGAAAACTGGACAGCTACATGTAAAAGAATAAAATTAGAACATAGTCTAACACCATATACAAAAATAATCTTCAAATGGATTAATGACCCAAATGTAAGACTTGATACTATAAAATTCCTAGAGGAAAACATAGGCAGAACACTCTTTGACATAAATTGCAGCAATATTTTTTTGAATCCACCTCCTAGAGTAATGGAAACAAAAGCAAAAATAAACAATGGGACCTAATTAAACTTAAAAGCTTTTGCAGAGCAAAGGAAACCATAAACAAAAAGATAACATATGGAATGGAAGAAAATATTTGCAAATGATGCTACTGCCAAGGGCTTAATTTCAAAAATATACAAACAGTTCAATATCGAAAAAAAATCAAATCAAAAAATGGGCAGAAACAGACATTTCTCCAAAGAAGACATCCAGATGGCCAACAGGCACCTGAAAAGATGCTCAACATTGCTAATTATTAGAGAAATGCAAATCAAAACTACAATGAGGTACGGCCTCACACCGCTTAGAATGACCATCATAAAAAACTCTAAAAATAATCAGTGCTAGAGAGGGTGTGGAGAAAAGGGAACCCTCCTACTCTGTTGGTGGGAATGTAAAGTGGTGCAGCCACTGTGGAGAACAGTATGGAGGTTCCTTAAAAAGTAAAAATAGAGTTACCATATGATCCGGCAATCCCACTCCTGGGCATATAGCTGAAGAGAACTCTAATTTGAAAGATCCATACACCTCAATGTTCACAGCAGCACTATTTACAATAGCCAAGACATGGAAGCAACCTAAATGTCCATCGACAGATGAATGGATAAAGAAGAGTGGTATCTTGATACAATGCAATATTACTCAGCCATTAAAAAAGAATGAAATAATGCCATTGGCAGCAACATGGATGGACCTAGAGATTATCATACTAAGTAAAGTAAGTCAAACAGAGAAAGATAAATATCACTTATATGTGGAACAAAAAATGTGATACAAATGAATTTATTTACAAAACAGAAATCGACTCATAGGCATGGAAAACAAACATAATTACCAAAGGGAAAGGGGGAGGGGGTTTGGATAAATTGGGATATTGGGATTAACAGATACACACTACTATATATAAATTAGATAAACAACAAGGATCTACTTTAGCACAGGGAACTATATTCGATATCTTATAATAAGCTATAATGGGGAAGAATGTGGAAAAGTATCTATATATGTGGATATATTTATATATATATACTCATATGTATATATACACATATGTATATTTAACTGAATCACTTTGCTATACACCTGAAACATTATAAATCAACTATACTTCAATTTTTAAAAATTGATAAAACAATGTCTCAAATCTTACAAATCAGTAAATATAATGATGAACTTACAATTAGAAAAATGAACTCAACATCAATTACAAAAAATAACATTTCTAATAAGAAATAAAGATATATGTCAGGGAGTAAGTCACATGAATCATATTAAAATTAATTTCTTGTGATTAATATAATACTATAAAAAGAGTCTAATGATACAATTAAGGTTCCAATTTCTAAAATTGAAATCAGCTTAGTAAATGTCATCTAGTTCTGAGAATTCTTATCTTCTTCTCTACTTCCAAATCCTATACAGTTTTAAAAACTGGTTTAAATGCCACTTCCATCATAAAGCTTCAGATGGTACTAATTTGTCAGAAGAAATTTTTCCTTCCTCAAACTTAAACTCTTAGTACCTGGGCCAGAGGATATTATACTGTTTCCCGAATATATCCATTTCTGCCGTGCATTCAAACCCATGTTATTCTGACTCCAAGGCTCTTTTGCCTTAAATTACACTATCTACCTCAGGTTATTTTATTATCTTTTAATAGAGATCATATATAATAGGGTCATGAAGGAGAAAAACAACACAAACCTGTATGTGTGAAGAGAGAATAAAGATAGGTCTAGAGATGACCTTAGGCTAATGGGGAGGAGATGAGTGGGTTTTATTCTGTTCATCAAGCAAATGGGGCAGGCAGGGGTTGTATGAGGAAGCATCACGAAGGAAAAAGCAACATGGCCTTGAGGGGGAACCGTGAGTATTCTGGCACTGCAGAAGCCATTAGAGAATGGGCAAGAGATTGGGGGGAACCATGGAATTCATGGATAGATCTTAAGGAGTCTGTGAACCCCCTGGATAGGACTATAATAAAGTGTGAACTTGTATGTATGGGGGAAATGTGTGATTTTCTAAAGAAACAATCTATAGCTTTCATCAGGAAGGCTCTGGGGAATCTGTGGCTCACCACAGCCAAACAAAAACAAAAGATAATTTAGACATTGGTCAAACCAGAGAGGGAGCATTTTAATGCCATTCTAAGGAGATTGGATTTATCCTAGGCCAGGAGGGAGTAGTTAATGTGTGATTTTTAAGCTTTTAAGAAATATAAAAGTGGTATGAAATCCTATTTGTATAGCCCAGTGAAAAATCATGCACATTCACCACAGCAGCAGCCATGGGAATGGAGAGGCAGAATATATACAAGAGACCAATGGATTTGGTAACTATTTAAACATAGGAAATGAGAGAAACAGAGGAGAATTAGAAGACACCCAGATACCTGGCTTGTGTGAAGGGTGATGTTGTTCACCAAGATGATGAACAGGAGGAAGAGTAGATTTATAAAGTTCATCTTAGGGTAGGTATACTGTGTTGAAGCCCTTGAGGAATATTCCAAGAAAGCTGTTAAGGAAGCAAATATGTCCCGAAAATATCAACTGAACTAAAAAACGACACTGGATTTGCAGCTATGGATCAGTGGAGCAGTAGGCCTGGAATGCAAACCTCAGTAAGTTGAAGAATCATTCAAAGG